TTATCCAAGCATGTGCATGCTGTACACAGAAGAGCCAAGGTTAAAAAGTCTCTATTTTTACTTATTTTTTTTTAGATTCAGCAGATACATGTGCAGGTTTCTTATATGAGTATATTGTGTAATGCTGAAGCTTGCACTTTTAATGATCCAGTCGCCCAACTAGTGAGCATAGTATCAAATACATAGTTTTTCAAGTCTTGCCCCCCTCCTTCCCTCCTCCTTTTTGGAGTCCCCAGTGACTGTTGTTCCCTTCTTTGTGTTCATGTGTACCCAATGTTTAGCTCCCACTTATAAGTGAGAACGTGTGGTATTTGATTTTCTGTTTCTGTGTTAATTTGCTTAGGATATTGGCCTCCACCTCCATCCATGTGGTTGCAAAAATCTTGTGCCTTTTAATGGCTGTATAGTATTCCATGGTGTATATGTACCACATTTTCCTAATCCAATGCACTACTGTTGGGCACCTGGGTTGATTCCATGTCTTTGCTATTATGAAGCGCTCCAATGAACATATAAGTGCATGTGTCTTTTTGGTAGACTTACTTATTTTCCTTTGGCTATATACCCAGGAATGGGATTACTGGGCTGAATGGTAATTCTATTTGTAGTTCTTCGAAAAATCTCCAAACTGCTTTCCACAGTGGCTGAACTAATTTACACTCCCACCAACAGTGTGTAAACCTTCTTCTTTGCTCCACAATCTCACCAGCATCTGTTAATTTCTGACTTTTTAGTAATAGCCATTCTGACTGGTGTGAGATGGTATCTCATTGTGAAATTCCCTATATTTTTAAGATTCTCAGGCAGTATCATGGGTCTGTATACTGACCCACGCCCTGGGCATGACTTCCACATTGCAGAATTGACAAGTTGACCCAGAAATGCATTTTGGGCTGAGCAGACAATTATCAGAGGAGCTGGCTAGACCACAGCTATGGTCAGATGTGTCATAGGGACCATGGCCTTTCTGTAGGCTCATGGTCAGAGGTGGAGAGGAGATGTGAACCTTCTTGTGAAAAAAGTCAAAGTGAAAGCTGCCCCGTGGTGATAGGTGCTGGGCCTCACCCACCAGATCCTGTGCATCTCCTGGCCTGCTGGGCTCAGTCTCCACCCCGCTGCTTGGCACTCGCCTGGCAGAATCTGAGTGACGCCTTCTACACTCCCTGCCCTGCTCTGCCACTGGCTGTGTCTGAGTCAGAGGATCAGTACTCAGCAGCAGACTCTCCCAAAACCCATCATCTGGGCTGAACCCAGTTTCATGATTCCAAAGGCAAAGCCGGTGACCATCTGTCACCAGGGAAATTCTGGGGCTGTTGAATACCAGCTGTGCTTTGAAGGAAGCCTTTCTGCCATGGAGAGACCAAAACCCCCCGAACGGATTAACAAAGTTGAATTCCACATCCTGGTCATGACCTCCTGCACGGCAGGGCTATACAGCTGTTTCTATCTGACTGGGAGCTCTGGTCAGGGGCCAGTGACTCTCTGGATCTGGTGGTAACAGGAGGGAAGATCCAGTCGCGTACAGCGCAGATATGGGAATCTCCAGGTGGAGTTCCCTGTGACCACAGCCCACAGAGGGACATACCGGTGTTTTGGTTCCTATAACAACCATGTGTGGTCTTTCCCCAGTGAACCGGTGAAGCTCCTGGTCACAGGGGACATTGAGAACACCCAGACCCCACCTCTTCTGGCTCTTGGGACACCTACCTTTTAACCACACAGACGGGACTCCAGAAAGACTGTGCCCTCTGAGACCACACTGCCCAGAATCTCCTTCAGATGGGCCTAGCTTTCCTTGTCCTGGTGACTCTGGTGTGACTCCTGGTTGAAGACTGGCTCAGCAGGAAGAGGACTAGAGGGTGAGCCAACGGAGCTTCCACTTGGGAATACAGGAGAAGGTTGAGAACACAAAGACCTCTTGAAGACTGACCAAGAAACGCAGTGGCCATGGGTGGAACTGAAAGCTGATCTTGAGCCTGGACGGTGGGAGCTCTGTGTTGGACCCAGGGAGAAGGGAGTCATTGCAGGAAAAAGGGACAATGGCATTCCATTTGTCAAAGCATCCTGGAGAAGAAAGGAGGTCGGAGAAACAAGCTAAATTTCTTTGGGAGGCAAAAAACAAGAAAAAAAAGTTGTTTTCAAAACTCAACTTAAGTATCCCTTCTTCGGAGAAGAAAGGTCCTTTTCTCCTATATATATTTTTTCATGTATATATACATAAATATAAATTATGTATAAATAAATATATATGTTTATTTATGTACATATACATAAATAAAAGCATGGTCCTTACCAAACACAATCATCTACTGACCCACCTGTATCTTTCATTAGGATTATGAGGGCAGGGATTTGGTCTTTTACCTCTGTGACTGTGGCATCTATGAATTGTGTGGCATGTAACAGATTTCTAACAAATATTTGCTTTTTGGAGGAAAAGGGAGCTGTTGCTGTTTTTAAACTTTGGACCAGGACAGGGGGTCTTTATTATTCAGAACCTAAGAATTAAAAAACCCATAATTTATCAAAACAAACTTTTTTGAAGAAACACTAGAGTAAAACTTTTTTGTGTGTGTGTGAGTGAAATATGCAGAGTTAGTATCGTTATAAACAAAGTCCAGGACTCAACGAAAGGAATAAAGTAAGAACAGAGTGGAAACATGAGGCATGTTGTAATTATTCCCTAAACTACAGTAACATGATATTAATATTTTCCTCAAAATAAACTCAGAATTTAACATAGTGTTCTTCCAGACGAGTGTGAAGGCAGGCAGGTGTTTTCCCAGTGCTGTTCTCCTTGGGAGCTGTCAGCTTCAGTGCACTATTTCACAGCTAGACTGTAAACAAACGTTAATTCCAATTGGCTCAATATACATTCAACAGTAAAATACCAGAAGTGAGTGGTCTCTGTTGTTCTCCAAAATGTGGGATCTTGAACAGACTTTTATCGTGAAAATGTTCATAGTTTGCACGTATCACTCCCAGCTGGAAGTTGTTGTCCAGTTTAACAGTTACATAATATAATCTTTTATGTGAGAATTTTGAATAGCATAACAGAGACAAGAAAACAGACTAACTTCTTGGTATTACCACATCTTGGCGACAAGTGAGAGTCCTGTTTAAAATGTAAAGGAAATCTTATTTGGTGAACCCTGTAATAGGTGGGGGCTGAGAGGGAAATCTAGGTTGCTGGATTTGTCACTAGGGTGTCCTCTACCAATAACCAGAGGGTTCCAGTTAGTGTCACCTCCCAGTATGAAAATAAATTTTCTTTCAGGCTTCGTTTGTGCAATTACATGTGTGTGGAGTGGCAGGTGGCGCCTTTTTTTAGGTCCTGATGACCTGGAGGGTGACTCGTAATCACCCTGAAACGTATGAGGACCCTAAGGAAACCTCCCCTGGAGGAGAGAAAGGGCTGGGGTTAGAGCCAGTGCGTTGGGGCTCGACTGGCACCTTCTGGTGTGAGCGGCACCTGGTGGGGGTTCCACACGGAGCCGCAGCCAACACTGCCCGGGTCCCCCACCCCTGTTCTGAGCCCAGGCACTCCGCTCTGAGCAGCGCGCCCCCAGCACCCTGGCCGC